AGTGCTGTGGCATCACAACTCACAGCAACCTCCAACTCTTGGCTCAAGTGAGTCTCCTGCCTCCACCTCCCAAGTAGCTGGGACACAGGCGCCCGCCACAACGCCCGGCTATTTTTTGGTTGCAGCCGTCATTATTGTTTGGCAGGCCCAGGCTGGATTTGAACCCACTGGTGACCTTAGGTGTATATGGCTGGCGCCTTAGCCACTTGAGCCACAGGTGCCAAGCCTTAAAGGACATTTCAGACAAAATAGGGAATAGATTAGTGATTCCTTTGAGCTCTGATTTTGAAAAAAAAATAACTACGTTAGAGTGTATAAGTCTCTCTCAGGTCTGTAGTGAGAATTTTCTTGCATAAAAGAAAAAATTATTACAGTAGAACCTCCATAGTTGACCTCCTGGCATTGATCACATGTCTATAACAGTATAGTAGGCATAGAGCCTTTTCCTGACCACTCTGTATGTTGACTACTCTGCTACAGTCCCTTGGGTGGTCGGTTTACAGAGGTCCTACTGTATTTGGGAACAGTGCTACAGATTTTACCATTCAGCTTTGTAGTAGAAAATTATTTAAACAGATAAGTGGTTGTAAAGATTTTCTTTTGAAAGTTGAAGATAATTGGAGTGGAAAATATCCTCAAATAGAATTATAACATGTTTCAATTAAACGACAGTTGGCAAGAAAGAAGAGAATTTGGGGGCACCCTGGAAGGTATTTTTGGGATTTGTAGAAGGGTATTTCTTATTAATGTCACTTAGGTCTTTGCTTCTAATGCCACTGAGGAATCAATTGTGATGTAAATACAGTGCCTGGATACCAATTAAAAGACAGATTGTCAGATTGAAGAAAAAACAGGATGCATCTATACAGGTGCAAGATATTGCCAGGGATGAAGAGAGAGATAAATATCAATGCACCAAGAAACCATAGCAATCCAAAATGGGAGTGGACCTAACAACAGAACTTCAAAACACCTAAAGCTTGTCCCTCTGTGGTCCTTAAGTGGGAAGTCTACTGTAAGCCTTTGATTCCTTTTCTTTTGTTTTTTGAGGCAGAATCTCACTTTGCTGCCCTCAGTAGAGTGCCATGGTGTCATAGCTCACAGCAACCTCAAACTCGTGGGCACAAGCAATCTTCGTGTCTCAGCCTCCCAAGTAGCTGGGACTATAGGCGTCCACCACAACACCCAGCTATTTTTAGAGATGGGCTCTCACTGTGGCTCAGGCTAGTCTCGAACTCCTGAGCCCAGGTGATCTACCCACCTCAGCCTCCCAAAGTGCTAAGATTATAGGCGTGAGCCACCATGCTACCCGCCTTTTGATTTCTTACTGCCTTTTAAATAAGTACTTGGACTTGACTATCTTCTACCAGTGTTGTTCCTGGAAGAGATTAAGTGGTCTACCTCTTCAGGGTGCGCATAGCCTGTGCTTCCATCTGATACTTTCGTTATTTATTAGAAGTGGTATTGGCATAAAACAAAGTCTGCTTCTCTGGGATTTGAGGATTTGTAGATGTTAGCTATGGAAGACGTGATCACTCGAGAGCTCGGGGTGCTACTCCAGGGGTGATGCAGTGGGAAACTCACTATGTTATTACTATGTTTATTGAGGCCACACATAGATTTTAGACGTCAGCTTGAGAATCACCAGGGCCTTGTTTCCTATGGGCCGAGATGAACTAGATGTGCAGTTTGGGGATCGTTGACTTTTCTGGAGCTTTCTGTATTTCTTGTTTTTAGGAAGGTGATATATGTTGATTCTGAAGGTTTTTGACTGAGCGAGTAAGTGTGGGGCAGCGCCTGTGGCTCAAGGAGTAGGGTGCTGGCCCCATATACTGGAGGTGGTGGGTTTAAATCCAGCCCTGGCCAAATACTGTAAAAAAAATAATAATAATAATAAAAAGACAGAGTAAGTGTTGCAGACTGCATATCGTGTTCAAAAGTGTGGATTCCATAGTACTTAAACCACAAGGAGGCCTTGGGCTCATATACCACCCCTCCCTGCCAGATGACAAACCCCACGGAATCATGCCTTTGGCCTCTGTCACTTGCCAGCTGTGTGTATAGGTCATGAGTCTGAAGAAGCTCAGCCTACCCCAGGATCTGAGAGAAGACCACGGTGTCTGCAGCACAGCAAGGGTGGGGGCCAGAGCTGAACGACCAAGGGCTTGCCAGGCCATGAGTAAGATGCTGGATTTTTATTCTGGGTGCAGTGGATGGCTAGTGAAGGGTTTAAATGGGACAGGGGTGCCATTAGGTGGTCATTTTCATCTGGCCCTTCTGGTCTTTGTCAGAGGGCAGTGGTGGAAAGTGGGCATATACTTCTTTTAATTTTAAATTATTACAGGTGTATAATAATTGTATATCTTTATAGGGTACGTGTGTTTGGATATAGGCATACAATGTGAATGAATCAAACCAGGGTAACTGAGTTACCACCTCAGACATTTTACATTTCTCTGTGTTAGAAACATTCTATTTCTACGTTTTAGTTATTTTAAAGTATACCCAAATTAGTGTTGATTATAGTCACTTTGTTATGCTATCAAATATTGTTCATTCTATCTATATTTTTGCACCTATTAGCCATCTCCACTCCCCTCCGCCTCCCATCACCCCTTCCTGTCCTCTAGTAACCGTCATTCTGCTTTCTGTCTCCATGAAACCCAAATGTTGTTAATATTTAGCTCCCATGTATTAGTGAGAATAGGACATATGCTTCTTGTAACTAGACTTCTTCAAATTCTTCCAGGTCCATGTTTTCCATGCCCTTTCATGACACTTACATGAGAGGCGGGCGTGGCTGTGCCCCTTACCCTCTGCAGGATGGAAATGAAGCTTGAGGTGGTCAGCCAACAGCATGACATTGCTTCGAAAGCTGTTATTCTGGCTTGGCTCCTGTGGCTCAAGTGGCTAAGGCGCCAGCCACATACACCTAAGGTGGTGGGTTCGAATCCAGCCCGGGCCCAGCAAACAACAATGACGGCTGCAACTAAAAAAAAATAG